TGCACACATCATTCTAGACCTATTTCATTACGCTGTGCCAAATTTCGTGCAAATCGAAAAATATTTAGGGACTTTGGTATACCATTTACCTTAAATCGGACGAATATATGGGAGCTATATCTAAATCTGGACCGATTTTCAGGAAACTTAACACACATCATTCTATACCTAATTCAGTACGCTGTGCCAAATTTCGTGCAAATCGAAAGATATATAGGGACTTCGGTACACCATTTACCTTAAATCAGACGTAAATATATATTGGAGCTATATCTAAATCTGAAGCGATTTTCACGAAACTTAACACATATAATTCTAGACATAATTCATTACGCTGTGCCAAATTTCGTGCAAATCGAAAGATATATAGGGACTTTGGTACACCATTTACCTAAAATCGACGAAAATATATATGGGAGCTATATCTAAATCTGAACCTATTTTCACGAAACTTAACACACATTATTCTAGACCTAATTCATTACGCTGTGCCAAATTTCGTGCAAATGGAAAGATATATAGGGACTTTGGTGGAGCATTTACATTAAATCGAACGAAAATATATATGGGAGCTATATCTAAATCTGAACCGATTTTCTTCAATTTCAATAGGGTTCGTTCTAGGGCCAAATAAGTGACCTATGACAAATTTCATCCAATTCGGATCATAAATGCGACTTGTACTTTGTTTACAATTTTACATGGACTGGCGAACGGACATGCATAAATCGACTTATAAAGTGATTCTATGCATATTCTCGTAAGAAACCATGTGTCTATCTCGTTTCATTTTACCTGATACAATATGCTCAAATACATAATACCCTGTACCACAATGTGGTGAAGGGTATACAAATCTGCTACTGAACGTTCTTCAAAAAATGGTAATTCAAATATTTTTTTGGAGGAAAATATCCATGCGATATTTCTTCAAAAAAGCTACGTCTGACAGTCATTCAAAAAATATTATTTGGAAAATTACACAATGGCATTGAAAATTTGAAAAGCCATATTCTTAAAAAATAATCAAACAATAAATTTAAAATTTTAAAAAAAGCTATCAAACAATATTTTTGAAAAGTCAACGACTATGCACTCCTTTATTTTTGTTTTGTATAATTTTAACAAAATTCACGTCGGAAAAACATTTTAATTCTCGCCTGATATTTTTTATTCAAAACATATTCTTTAAAATATCAACGCTTATACTTACATCTCTGACATTCTATCCCAAAAAATATTTAAAAAATCCAAATTGATTAGAAAGTATTTTTAAAAAAGTAGCTCTGATTCCCCTTTATATTTTTTTAACAACATCCAAAAATAGTATTTAACATGTTAATTAATAAATCTAATCAAATATATATTTATGGTGTTTTTAAAATATTCCTTATTCTTTAAAATATTCCTTATTTTATGCATAATATTTTTAAAAAAGTACCACATCATGTAGGAGATTGATTTATATTAAAAAAACACTTGCATATATACAAATTCATTGCATACTTTCAGGGATTATCTCAAATTTTCTTAAGCCTTTAACACAATTTGTAAAAATGTCCCTTGTTTTCTTTCCTGGCGTTTATCCTTTTGTTTATCTTAGTACATCTGCCTTTAAAAATTTAATATAACATTTATTTGATTTTAAAACCCCCATTGTGTTTCCTATTTTTTTATCCCATCTGTAAATTAAATTTTCACACTACAACAACTAACCAACAACCCATCTCTATTGTTTGCAATGACTAAACAGAGACAACACCAAACATCCCACTCTCTGCTCGGCACGGCACAACATAAAATTCAATTTAAATAGTTGTCCACTCGATTTATTTCAATATTCTAATGTCCTTTATTCGATTTATACGTTCTTTTTTTTTTTGCACAAGGGTTCAACATTCACTCACATAAACGCACCCATAAACAGGCACAACAGACAGACACGGAGACATACATATACACACACACTCACACGCAAAATTGGCGAACATCAACTCAAACGTATAAAATGATGTTTTCAAAAACTTCTGTCATTGACTATCATCATCTATGGGCATCACAACCTTTCACCATCGTCATCATCAATTGACCCCTACCATTATCATTCTAAGCAACATCATCGTCGGTTAGTTTTCCGTTGTACAGTAGTCCAGTATAGTCTCAAGGGTCTTCTAATGGACAGAGTTGCCATCAAGGATTTGGATTTTTTTTTTCATTGTGGGATAATGAAAAAAAATTAAAATTAGGCAATAAGTCCTCGGAATACTTTAGAGCAAAATGTACTAAAAAAATAGCCTGGTTCTGAAATAAGTTAACTTGCAGACAGTCCTTGGATTATGGAATTGAAACTTAACTTGAATAGTGCTGTAGTTATTTTTTTTCTAATTTTGGGACGAAACATTCATCGTCTCTAGATTATGGGTCACTGAATTTTATTTGTATCATTTTTGTTATCAGGATAATCGGCAGGATCATTTTATGGGCTGTGGCTATATGGTCATACTAGCACTGCTCGGGTACAGGAAAAAATCCATAAAAAATCCATAAAAAATCCATAAAAATCCAGCTCTGGAGTGACTGAATGTAATATCAAAAAAATCGATTCGTCCTTTTTTTCCTTTTTGTCAACTTGACAACCATGCTCCACAGTTAACTTTACACACAACAAAAAAATATTCATCACGTCCAAATGATTTTCTATTATACTCCACTAACTTTGAATGTATCTTCCGTTTCCTTTCGTTCATACATTTTTTTTCAAAGTCAACTTGTGTGTGTCCTTTCACATTTAAATATAATAGAGACAGAGAAGAGGACCAAGAAGAAAAAAATACCCAAAACGTTTATGTCTGAAGGATGTAATATGCTCGTACCTCCTCATGCTTGTTGCCTTAGGTGGTAGAGAAAGTTTTTGAAAATATATTAAATGAGTATGTATGTGTGTGTTTTTTGTATTTTATTTTCTATCTTTTTTATTATTTTGAAATTTATAACACTGGAAAAAGATCCAGTAAATGTTCGAGTTGTTGATGACAATCATTAGGTTGTTGTTGCTCCTTGTCCGTTTAGCTTTTTTATTTGAATGTCAGCTTCAAATGTTTTTTGATGAAAAAAAGAAATTGGTTAGCGATTTTATTTAAATAATTTTAAAGAAAAATTAAGAATTCAAATTATAAGGAATATTTTTCCATAGAAAAAATTTGACTTACGGTCCTAACGATTTTTTTCTGTAGAAAAAACTTGACCTACGGTCCTAACGATTTTTTTTCTGTAGAAAAAACTTGACCTACGGTCTTCACGATTTTTTTTCTATAGAAAAAACTTGACCTACGGTCATGGCGAATTTTTTTCTAGAGAAAAAAATTTAACCTACGGTCTTTGCGAATTTTTTTTTCTATAGAAAAAACTTGACCTACGGTCTTTGCGAATTTTTTTCTATAGAAAAAACTTGACCTACGGTCTTTGCGAATTTTTTTCTATAGAAAAAACTTGACCTACGGTCCTGACGACGAATTTTTTCTATAGAAAAAACTTGACCTACGGTCCTGACGACGAATTTTTTCTATAGAAAAAACTTGACCTACGGTCTTCACGAATTTTTTTCTATAGAAAAAACTTGACCTACGGTCTTCACGAATTTTTTTCTATAGAAAAAACTTGACCTACGGTCTTCACGAATTTTTTTCTATAGAAAAAACTTGACCAACGGTCTCAAATTTTTGCGAATTTGACCCATGGTCCTCACCGAATTTTTTCTATAGAAAAAATTTGACCTACGGTCCTGACGACAATTTTTTCTATAGAAAAAACTTGACCTACGGTCCAGACGACGATTTTTTTCTATAAAAAAATTGACCTACGGTTTTGAAGAATTTGTTTCTATAGAAAAAACTTGACCTGACGGTCCTGACGAATTTTTTTCTATAGAAAAAACTTGACCTACGGTCCTCACAATTTTTTTTTCTATAGAAAAAACTTGACGACGCAAGGGTTTCACGATTTTTTTCTATAAAAAAAACTTTACCTAAGGTCCTGATGATTTCTTTCTATAGAAAAAACTTGGGCCCAAGGGTTTCACGATTTTTTTTTCTATAGAAAAAACTTGACCTGCGGTCTTCACAATTTTTTTATTTTTTATCGAAAACAATAATAGTTTATGCATTTGAAACTAAAAATATATTTATTGCATACTTTTAGGCAACATATATTTATGTTGAAAAATGTATTGCATACCTTGAGGATTTTATATTAAATTCATACAAATATCGCATAATTTTAGGTGTGTGTGTGTGTATGTGTGTTATAAAGGCTAACATTTTTTTAATATAAAGTGAATTTTCCTACCTTGCCTTCATCATATCTTTGGCATTTCATTCTGACTTCTTTACAAAGAACAGAGAAATATGTTACCCTTTTTATGTTTTTACCATCATATTTCCATCCTTCTTCTGCTACTGGCAGATTTTTACATAATTTACATATTTTTGTTTACTTTTTATTATAATATTTTTCCTACAAACTCCAACCATGAACCCTTCAGATTTCCTTGTCCATTACAAAACATAAAATATTATGTTTGTCTATAACTTTTAGCAACAACAATACATACCGACTTTTACATAGTTTGTTATTTGTTTGGCAGTTCTAGTTATGAGTTGTTGTTCTTCTTGTTTTTGCCACAAAATTTACCTGGCTTCTTGCCCGATGGCCAGCCGGACAGCTGGCCAAAAAGGGGGAATAAAAACAACTTTGTTTCATACTTCTTAGCCTCGAGAATAAAAATAAAGGGAAATGTGTATTTTTCTTTTTCACTGCAATAACAAAAAATAAATTCCATTTTCAAGATTTATAACTGGCTTTGAAAGAGTTGGAGATTCAAAGGGAATTTTTTATACACATTTTTGCAAACAATAAAATTTATTAATAATAACAAAGATTTCCTTCCGTTTTTCCCTGCCTCTACTTATTTTCTATAACTCTGTTCTTCTTTTTCTTTCCAGGACGCAATGAACTCATCGCCCGTTATATCAAATTACGCACCGGCAAAACGAGAACCCGCAAACAAGTCAGTTCTCACATACAGGTCTTGGCCCGTCGAAAATTGCGTGAAATTCAGGCGAAAATCAAAGTTGTAAGTCCAACTGATCATGTCTGAATTGTCTGTCCATACCACCCTCTCTCTTTATCGTATTCATTATTATTTTAGTTTATACATTAAGTTTATCCTCTCCCACCCATCAATCCATCCATCCTATTCCATATAAAAAAATCAATTATTGTAATCATATATTTATTTATCACATTATCAAATTTATATATACATATTTATGATATTAAAAAAATAAAAAAATTAAACTACAAATCAATTTCATTTTATTTATTTATCATCTATTTCTTGTATATTTTATGTTTCGTCCTCTTATTTCGTTCCCCCCGCCCCAGTTCGTTCATGCTTTTTTCATCCTTTATCCATTGTTTTTCTTGTTTATCAATTTTATTGTATATGTATGTATATTTATATAATTATGAGAAAAAGCAAGTTGGGTAAAAATGTTTCATGAAATATACAATAATTTATGAATATATGGAAATTGAAGCATATTTTCAGGCGCCAAGGAAATATTACAAGTCAGCTGTTAATTTGTGGAAATTTATTTTTTAACTGTGGTTCAAGGTATATTCATATAGAAAATACTTGATAATAACAGGGACCGACCATGTATTCTTTAGAAGGAAATGATCTCCGATTTTATTTATAGAAAAAATGAGGTCTATAAGATAGTATTCCTACACAAAAATGTTAATTAAATAAATTCAGAATCTGAGATTTTTTCTGCTTCAAAGGTTTTTTTGTAAAGGCAATTCTGGATTACACTTTCGCAGTGATTTTATTTATTTTTGAAAGAAAGAAATTTAACCTGAAGTTCTAAGACATAATTTTGGGTTCTAGGGAATTAATCTTTATATAAAAAAACTTCAGGGTCTGCAGATTTTTTTTTTTTTTTTTTTTTGTAAAAAAATTACCCTCGGGTTGGTATTTTCTGAAGTATTTTCTTTGTAAAAAATACCCTGTTTCTATATTTTTTCTGTAGAAAAATGTTGCCAAGGGAATTTTTTCTATAGAAACCAATGGACATAAGGGTTGTCCAATGGACATAAGGGTTCTCTAATTCTATAGGCCTACTGTGTTATATAGGACAATTTTTTATTTACGTTTGTATATACATCAGACACCGAAGATGTTGACCTGAGGTTCGGAGGACTAGTTTCTAATTGAAAATTATGGATCTCACATTCTGAGTTACGTTTTTATATGGCCCAGTTTCTGAGGATTTTTTATGGTATGAAGCATGACCTCAGGATGTGAGTATTATATACTTTGAAAAGAAACCTATTGAAAAAACTTGACCTCTGCTTGTTGACAATTTTTTCTATTGAAAAAAACTTGACCTGACGATTTATTTAGAGAAAAAACTAAACCTTTGAAAGAAATTTAAGAACAAGTGCTATGGAATGACCTCAAGTTCTAGGGATTTTAACTTTATATAAAAAATGACTTCTGGGTCTAAGGATTATTATCTGTAAAAAAATTGACATCAGGTTCGAAGTATTGTTTTTCTAATTTTTTTCTGTAGAAAAATGTTGCCACAAGGACTTTTTCTATAAACACGAGTCGACACCAAGCTCAAAGACATTTTTTATAATAATTTTCGCAAAAATCTTGACCTGAGATTCTGAATTTTTTGTCTATTAGAAATAAGGGTTCTGGGGATTTTATCTCTAGAGAAAAATATAATTCTGTAGGCCCACTGTGTTGCAGAGGTCAATTTTTTATATTTGCTTGTATAGGCATCAGAGACCGAAAATGTTTACCTGACGTTCGGATGACATGTTTCTAATTGAAAATTATGGTTACATTTTTTTTTACATGGCCCCAGTATCTGAGGATGAAGCATGACCTGAGGTTCTGAGGAAACTTGGCCCTGATCGTTTTTCTATTGAAAAAACTTGACCTCAGGTTCCTGGGAAATTCTTTTTCAAATAAAAAACTTTATCTCAGTTCCTGAGAATTTTCTTCCAGAAAAAAATCTGGCCTCAGTTTCCTAACGATTTTTTTTTTCTAGAGAAAAAACTTGATCTCAATTCCTAAGGATTTCTTTTCTGCAGACTCAGATTCCTGACAAATTTTTCATAGTAAGCTAACCTTACATGGTTACGTTTTTTTTTACATGGCCCCAGTATCTGAGGATGAAGCATGACCTGAGGTTCTGAGGAAACTTGGCCCTGGTCGTTTTTCTATTGAATAAACATGACCTCAGGTTCATGGGAAATTCTTTTTCAAATAAAAAATCTTCATCTCAGTTCCTGAGAATTTTCTTCCAGAGAAAAAACTGGGCCTCAGTTTCCTAACGATTTTTTTTTCTCGAGAAAAAACTTGATCTCAGTTCCTAAGGATTTATTTTCTATAGACTCAGATTCCTGACAAATTTTTCATAGTAAGCTAACCTTTTTCCTATAGACAAAACTTGACCACATTTCCCAAGGAATTATTTTCTATAAAAAACCTCAGTAGATGAGGATTTTTTCTTTAAAAAACTTGTGTCGCTAAGAAGACTTGGCTACAAGGAATGTTTTCCTATAGAACAAACTGGAACGAACTCGGTTCCTAAGGACTTTTTGGATAGAGTAATGTAGACTTCACATTGTAAGATTTTCTTCTTCAGATCCTGAATATTTTTTTTAAATATTTTTAAGTCCCTGATGATTTACAGCTTCAAAAAAGCACATTCAAATATCTTCTGAAGAACAAATTCGTATTACATTGCAAAATATTTATATTCTTCCAAATTAATAGCATACTTTTAGGGAGCACATAGCAAAGTCAGCAATTGCATATTTACTATCTGTGTATGCACGATTTCAAATTATAATTAAATTGAAATTAACGAAGTGAAGAAATATAAATACAACTCTCTGTTTTTGGAATTGCATTGGGAAAATTTCCCCCACTCTTGTCATTCCATGGAGTCCACTATTTCACTCTGTCCATCATTATTTGCTTTGGTAATTTCTAAATTTTTCCCACTTCTTTTGTTGTTTGTTGTTGTTGCTGTGATGTTTTCTATATTGTATTTATTTACGAAACATTGTTTCTATGGCTTTAAACATAAAAAAATATGCAGAACAACAACAACAACTAAAAATGAAATTGCATTTTTCCCGACGTTATAAAGTTCACAGAGAAAAGAGAAATATACACAGAGAGAAAGAGAAAACACTTAACTTACTTTGATATTTCAAATAGAAAAGATGTCAGTACTATAAAAATATATACCAATATACAAACAACAATAACAATAAAAGAAATATATATTTATATATAAATAATATGGGTTATAGCGTCAGGTGTGAGAAAGGTTGGACATAATGGCACATTTTTTCTATAAAAAAAAATTATTAGGACCGGAGGTCACATTTTTTTCTATAGAAAAAAATACATAAAGTTCGAATGTGACACTCACGTCAAGTTTTTTCTATAGAAAAAAAATTCGTGAGGACCGTAGGTCAAGTTTTTTCTATAGAAAAAATTTCCTGAGGACCGTAGGTCAAGTTTTTTTCTATAGAAAAAATTCGTGGGAACCGTAGGTCAAGTTTTTTCTATAGAAAAAAATTCGCAAAGACCGTAGGTCAAGTTTTTTCTATAGAAAAAAATTCGGGAGGACCGTAGGTCAAGTTTTTTCTGTAGAAAAAAATTCGGGAGGACCGTAGGTCAAGTTTTTTCTGTAGAAAAAAATTCGCAAATACCGTAGGTCAAGTTTTTTCTGTAGAAAAAATCGCAAAGACCGTAGGTCAAGTTTTTTCTATAGAAAAAAATTCGTCGTCAGGACCGTAGGTCAAGTTTTTTCTATAGAAAAAAATTCGTCGTCAGGACCGTAGGTCAAGTTTTTTCTATAGAAAAAAATTCGTCGTCAGGACCGTAGGTCAAGTTTTTTCTATAAAAAAAAATTCGTCGTCAGGACCGTAGGTCAAGTTTTTTCTATAGAAAAAAATTCGTCGTCAGGACCGTAGGTCAAGTTTTTTCTATAGAAAAAAAATCGTCGTCAGGACCGTAGATCAAGTTTTTTTCTATAGAAAAAATTCGTCTTCAGAACCGTAGGTCAAGTTTTTTCTATAGAAACCAATTCGTGAGGACCGTCAGGTCAAGTTTTTTTCTATAGAAACAATCGTCAGGACCGGAAATCAAGTTTTTCTATAAAAAAAAATGTTTTATAGAAAAAAGAACTGAGGATAAGTTTTTCTATAGAAAAAATTCCTTTGGACCCTTGGAATGACCCATATCTCGCCCCGATAAACTTATTGTAGTGTATATATTTGTTTTTAAATAAATACACAGGCGAACAATAAAAAAGACCTTTAAAAACAACTAAAAACTCTTGTAAACTTTACACAGAGAGAATGCATTTTGAAAAAAAAGTACGCACACAGAGATCAAAGAGTATGGGAGGTGGTGCTGCAGCTTCTTTTCGCTGGACTGGGTGGGTAGTGTCGGCAATGTTTCAGTAAACCAAGGGGAAAAGAAATAACAAAAAAAAAAAAAAAAACGTCGCGGCGCTGGTAATGGTAATGCAAGACCATGGATGCGGAATGGGAGGAGGGTCTCTTGATGAGATGAAGTCTACTACGCTTTTACACAAATGCTCAAACAGAAAATGAAACAAACAAAAAAAGTAGAATAAAATGAAATGAAAGTAAAGTGAAATAAAATTCATCATGTATTTCTTCTTTTTGACTTTTTGCAAAACTACAAAGACCAAAGAAGTACGAGAGTGAAAAAAAACGCAACACAAGAGCTTGGTGGGGAGCCAAGCAGTACCCTCACTCTCATTAAAAAAACACACAACAGAAACTGTGGTATCCCTTCAAATCAAGCCATAAGTATGAGGATGAAAAAAAAACCAAAACCTTCCCCCCTTCTCTTCGACCAAATAAAAATGCAATAAAATTTATGCAAGCCAAAGCAAGAGGTCGGGCATACGGTCGGTCGGGCTTTTGAAAGAGTATTTCTTTTAAATCGCTATCGCACATTCTGTTTTTTGATTGTTGTTGCTGCTGTTGCTTGGAAATTGCATACAAATTGTGCGTTTTAGTTCTCAAAGGACCTTTCAAAGGCTTTAAGGCAACTCCTTATCGTTGCTCCTTTGACATTTGTGGTTACCTCTATTTTGTTTATTTATTTACACACACACCAGAAAAGAGAATTATTTTACTAAAGGATATCTCAGAAAATGCTTTAAGGACAACCAAAAGATTGTAATCGATTTGTACATATTTACACTTCATTTATATCCTTTTTAAATAAAAATTTAAATTTTTAAACAAAAAACCCCAAATACAAGTTAATATCCTTTGGGCAGAGAGCGACAGAAAAAAAAACGGAAACCAAAAGCGTTGTGGATTTTCTGATTGGATTTTTGTAGCATGTCATCTTGACTCCTCTGTCAGACATTGTCAAATGAAATTCTTTACACACAAAATGGGTCATATTTAACAAGATTGCTTGTGTTTTATTTTTTCAGGAAAAATGTCCTTTAGTCCTTTTTGCACAGGTGTATGAAATATTTGTGTTTTTCCACAAAAGGACTTTGGTTCTGGCACATCTTCAATTTCAATAAAAATGTCGCCAAAGCAATCGCCCAACCAGTCGTGTCAGCCAGCCAGACATTCAGCCAACAAGGAATTGTAGTTCGATTAAAAAACACAATACCAACAACAACAACACACACAAAATATCACACACACAAATGTTATCCTCCCCACAACTTACACTCTGGATCTTTGTGATAGTAAGAACACAACAACAACAAAAAATGCTTTTAATCGAAAAGCTTTTAAAACCACAAACAGCCAAATGGCATTGTTGTATTCTCAAATATAACTCTCAGGTTCGCCGGTTGTTGGTGTTGGTGTTGTTTTTTTTTTTTGTCTTTCTTTTTTAAAGAGTGTTATATGAGGTATGCCAGCACAATTGAACAAGGAAATAATTTGCCTTTACAAACTCAGAGACCAAGTTTTTTTTATCGAAAATACGTCGTCCGAACCATAGGTTAAGTCTATCCTATAGGAAAAAGTCGTCAGGTCAAGTTTTTTCTATAGAAAAAAGGTCAACTTTTTTTCTATAGAAAAAAATTCGTCAAGAACGTAAGGTCAAGTTTTTTTTCTATAGAAAAAAAAATCGTCAAGTTGACTTGACGAATTTTTTTCTATAGAAAAAAAGTTGTAAGGTCAAAAAATCGTCGTCAGGACCGTAAGGTCAAGTTTTTTCTATAGAAAAAATCGGCGTCAGGACGTTAGGTCAAGTTTTTTCTGTAGAAAAAAATCGCCGTCAGGACCGTCAGGTCAAGTCTTTTCTATAGAAAAAAATCGCCGTCAGGACCGTCAGGTCAAGTCTTTTCTATAGAAAAAAATCGCCGTCAGGACCGTCAGGTCAAGTTTTTTCTATAGAAAAAAATCGCCGTCAGGACCGTCAGGTCAAGTTTTTTCTATAGAAAAAAAATCGTCAAGACCTCCAATTCAATTTTTTTTCTATAGAAAAAAATTCGTCAGGACCTCCGGGTCAATTTTTTTTCTATAGAAAAAAATTCGTCAGGACCTCCGGGTCAAGTTTTTTCTATAGAAAAAATTCGTCAGGATCTCCAGATCAAGTTTTTTCTATAGAAAAAAAATTCATCAGGACATCCAGGTCAAGTTTTTTCTATAGAAAAAAAAAAATCGTCAGGACCTCCAGGTCAATTTTTTTCTATAGAAAAAAATTCGTCAGGACTTCCAGGTCAATTTTTTTCTATAAAAAAAATTCGTCAGGACATCCAGGTCAAGTTTTTTCTATAAAAAAATTCGTCAGGACCTCCAGGTCAAGTTTTTTCTATAGAAAAAAATTCGTCTGGAGGTCGATTGTTTTAAAAATTTTTCAGGAAACTAAGGTCAAAGTTTCGCTATAAAAAAATCTTCAACAAATTCGTCAAGACAGAAATTCAAGTTTTTTCCATCAAAAAATCCTCAGGACCGAAGGTCAATTTTTTTTCAATGAAAAAATCGTCTGGACCGTAGATCAAGTTTTTTCAATAAAAAAATCGTCTGGACGTAGGTCAAGTTGTTTCTACAGAAAAAGATCCTCAGGGCCAAGTAACAGAGGTCAAGCTTTCCATAAAAAATCCTTAAGAACTTAAGTCAATTGTTTTCGATAGAAAAAAGGTCTCAGTTTCTTTCTGTGGGAATCCTGAGAAAACGGAGGTAATTTTTAAACAACAAAATCCGGACAAAAGTTTTCAGGACAGTTTTTCTCCTTATGAAACACCTTCTTTCTATGGCTGGTCATCCGTGACCGAATTTTTTCCAAAGATTGCATTCGCAGGTTTCTAGGATTGAAATTATTTTAAATTTAAAATAAAATTATTTATATACTTATAAACAAAAAAAAATCCTTGTAAATATTACATCATGAATCATCACATTACAAATGCTCAAACATAACCTGTGGGACATATAATCCTGAAGAGATTATATTCCCATTTGTGCTGCGAAACCAACCCATAAACATACCACACTCACCCAAACCCACTACGAGATACATTACCATACCATCTACATACAACATAACAAAAAGAAACATGCATCCAAAGGATTAACATTTTTTATCAAAAAGAAAAGGATCATTACTCCATCACCAAAGGATCATCAAAAGGACATACACCCACACACACATTACTCATATCCCCGTTAAGAAAGAAAACTCATCATCATCCTCCTCAACACCACACATCACAACATCGACTCCCCCCTTTTGTGTAAAAAAAAAAACAAACCTCAACATGAACTACAACAACAACACCACTTCACACAAAACAATTTCTAATTTTGGTTTTCAGGAGCCTAATGGAGTTATAGGTGGTCCCGGCTCGGCCAACAATGCTGCCGTCTTGCATTTACTTAGCGAAAAGGAGAAAGCCTTACAGGCCATATCGGGCATGACCAGTTCCCAGATCGTTTCCGCCCAAGCGGTAAAAAATCTCTCCCTGTCCCTAACGGCCGGTTTGCATCCGCATGCTGTGCATCCCCACCACACACATCCACACTTAAATCCCCACCACCATCTCCACCATCAATCCAGCCACTTACACAGCCACTCTGCCACCACCGGAAACCAACATCCATCACAACATCCACACCACCTACAACTACACAATCATCTTCCGTCCGGTTTGACTGCCGCCAATCCATTGGGTCATCCCTTGCGTTCGGATATGAGTGGGTCAACGACAACAGCCGCTGCACATTTAGGACCGCCGCCACCCCATCCCCATCATCAGCAAGCGGCAAATTCGGTTAGTACCAATACTAGCAACAACAATAGTTCCGTTACGGCAGCTGCAGCAGCGAATGTGAATAGTTTAAATGCTATTAACAGTCCAAATAGTAGTACCACCTCCCATTTGACACAACATGCAGCAGCTTTAAGTTCGGCGTATTTACAGCAGCAACATCATCTGCACCATCATCATCGTCAACAATTGGCTGCTGTTGCCGCAGCCATAACGTCCAATTCATCCGCCTCGGCGATGGGTTCCGCTGCTGCTCTGCCTTTATATCCGGGAGTAAGATAGTCTACTACTACAGCTACAACAAAAAGAACAAATGCTGTGAAAGCAATAATATTTATGCGTTGTTGTTATTAGTATTTAATGTCCTTGTGTCTCTATGTGTGTGTGTGTCTGTACGTATTTCTGTTTCTTCGTGTTTTAGATTCGAAATCAGGATATATATACAAGTCTGATGGGCATTTAGTAATCCTAATTTCTAAACTTGACTTTCTAAGACCGCGAGAATGAGTTTCCGACTAGAAGAGCTTTTGTTTCTCCCAAGAATAAAATACTTTTCATAGAGTTGCATTGTCTGTTTTGTAAATAACCCTCATAAAGCTTTTTATAAACTGTGTAATGAAAGCTTAACGAACATAACGCCACGAGCCATTATCTAGGATTTTAAACAAAAAGCTTCAGAAGATATTTTCAAATTTCTGTTGTAGTCGAAATCCATAACGCCTCATTAAAAGCTTCAGAGCTTTCAAGCTGCAAAGATTTTATTCTTTATTATACTTTAAGCAATTTAATTTAATAAAAATTAAAATTAGTTTTTCTCTGCAATTTTTTGGCATGGAAAATTTTAGTTGTACACATACTACGAGAGTTACTTTATATATTTATGGTCTAATAATGAAAATTCGAATATATATCGCCATAAATGCTTTACCAGTAGTCCTCGTAATTAAAGCTTATTTCTTAGCAATCGGTTTCAAAAATGTCCATCTAAAACTTCAAATGAACATTAAAAAAAAACTCTTGAGAATATACTTGAATTACGATGTAAGTTAAGCGATGTTAAGAGTTCTCTCAAACTTAAAAAATATATATTCTAAAATATATATTCTATTCTATATATTCTAATTTAATTTAATTTCTTTTACATTTTTATAGATGTATTAAAAATTTAAACATTTTATAAGTTACTAACAATTATCCCAAAACCCAATGATGCAGTCTCTAAATACCACAACACATCTTGTTCGAAAGCAATATTGAAATCATGGCGCCATAACTTGCTTATTCTCATAATATAAAAATGATATATAAATATATTTAATGATAATATTTGTTATTAATAAACGATATCTTCCTCTCTTTTTTTCTTTCCAAAAAAATTATAGCAATTTTGGCAACCTGGTCTCCAGCCCAGCACTTCACAAGAGTAAGTTTTCAGGCATATACAGTCGGACATGGTTATAAGGTATCCAAATTTTACGGAGGGGCAAGAAAAAATACTATTTACTCACTAACCTCCGTTCGTCGTGTTGAATTCGAACTTCCAAATGGTATCACTTCCTTTCGAAATTGACGTGACATGAAACATACAAATAAAAGGAATACATCGTTTCTTCAGAGGAGCGAGCCGAAAATAATTGAACAAGCTCATCCAGGTCAAGGCCTTTAAATAAGGTCATCCAGCGAGACCAGCTGGATATCAGATGCCTCTCACGTTTGCTGTCGAAATCCATTATTGTGAATTGACTTCCATTATGGAAACGTAAACCAAGACCTATAAATAAGATCACCCAGGAAAACAAGCTGGATATCATTAACTCAAGTTTGCTGTCAAAATTGATTATTTTGAATTGACTTCCATAATGAAAACGTAAACAAAGTACAAATTTTTGACATTAGACTTGAGAAAAAACAGCAGATCTTGACGTAAACAAAAGCCAAATTTTTGACATAAGACTTGAGTTTCGCTAGCTGGGTGGCCTTATTAATAGATATTGATCCTGGGAGACCGTGAATTGAATTATATTATGAAAACGTAAACAAAGTCTAATTTTTTAACATTAGAGTCCATGGCACAATGAATAGGTAGTCCATTTAGAGCAGCTGATGTCTTGATTAACTGTCAAAGTGTAAATATTACTTGAATTCGATTTGCAATGCTGCCAAATTTTTGAAATATTATAAGGAAAAATTTGACAGATAATCGAGGCAAAAAATGTATTTGTTTTGATACATTACCTTATTATTGCGTCATGATTAGAGTCGAGCAAGGTCTATAAATAAGGTCTTCCAGGGAGACAGGCTGGATATCAGCTGTCTATTGAGTCTGCTGTCAAAACCCATTATTCTGAATTAATTTTTATTATGAATACGTGAACAAAAGCTAAATTGTTGACATTAGACTTGAGAAAACCAGCTGATTTTCGGTAGCTGGTGACCTTATTAATATATCTTGGACTCGAGATAAATCAGCTGACATTCGCTTGCTGAGTAACCTTATTAATATGTCTTGGACTTCAGAAAGAACATATGACTTCACTATCTGGGCAACCTTATTAGTAGATCTTGAGTAATCTTAAAAATAGGCCTTGTCCAAAAAAAAATTGATACCTATTCTCCTTATGACCCTGTTCGACAGTGCAAATTTTTTTTGGTCTAACCTCTAATATTCAAACATTTATCTGATGGCATTGACCCTTAAAGTTTTTATGATTACAGTATAAAACCATTTGCACAACAACCATATCCCGCCGGTAAACCATCCACAGCTGTATCTGGTGATATTGAAGCAGGTCTTCCGCCAGCCCAGCTGCCGTGGGAAGGACGGGCGATAGCAACGCACAAATTTAGATTATTAGAGTTTTCAGCGTTTATGGAAATGCGACGAGATGAAATTGTAAGTAGAAAAAAAAACATTTAATCAAATATATATAAAAAAATGAGGCAAGAATGTCAACATTTCACTCTAACTTTGGTATTTGAATTAATTATGTTTGGTTGACCACAGTTAAAAAATCTCTTTAAAATTTGACAAAATTAATGTTCGTGCCTCCTGAGTATTCCAATCACATAATAATTTACTTAACAATGGCATAAGCAATGATTTCGTATTACCCAGATACTTCCCTAGTCACATCTAGAATACATTCTGGTTATATTGTTTGCCTCCATGATTTAAAAACTTCGATATTTTCTTGTTCTTTATTATTAATTCTATACCTTTTTGTATACCCAGTACCACCGGCATTTGTTTGTACAGTTGGGCGGTAAACCTTCCTTCTCGGATCCCTTGCTTGAGGTAAGTATTATTTGAATACCAAGATATATATTTTTTATAAATTAATTTAATATTCTCCTCACTCGTTTACAGACCGTTGATATTCGACAAATCTCTGATAAATTCCCTGAAAAATCGGGTGGTCTTAAAGATCTCTATGAAAAAGGTCCGCAAAATGCCTTCTATTTGGTTAAATGTTGGGCTGATCTGAATACAGAACTCACTGGCAGTGAAACTGGTGATTTCTATGGCGTTACAAGCCAGTAAGTAGCTGTTTCAAATCGAATTTATTTTTTGTTGTTCTGCATATAATACTTTTTTTTTATTGCAGATACGAAAGTAACGAAAATGTGGTCTTAGTGTGTTCAACAAAAGTTTGCTCCTTTGGCTCACAGGTTGTGGAAAAAGTTGAAACAGAATACTCACGCTTAGAGAATGGTCGCTTCGTATATCGCATCGAACGTTCACCGATGTGTGAATATATGATTAATTTCATACAGAAATTGAAAAATTTACCTGAACGATATATGATGAACAGTGTATTGGAGAATTTTACAATATTGCAAGTAAGTGGACGCTAAATATTTAGAATAGTTGTTAAACATGTAATTGGAACTAGGGTTACATCGGATTATTTACAATTAGTGAGGAAAAATCGATTTAATAATTGAAAGAGAGGGCTGTGTGAAAATATTGGCCTGAAAACATATTAAAAATGATCCGCGAAGAAGTTCTTTGGAACGCCAAATTACTGCCTCTCAAGTTTGCTGTAAAAATCCATTATTGTGAATTGACTTCCATTATGAAAATGTAAAAAAAGTCAAAATTTTGACATTAAACTTGAGAAAAAACAGTTGACATTCGCTAGATGGGTTACCTAAAGATCTATTAATAAGGTCACCAAGGTAGCAATCGAAATCGGAAAACAGCTGTTTTTTCTCACGTCTAATGTCAAAAATTTCGACTTTGTGTACGTTTTCATCTGAAGTCAAATTTGTCTCAAAATGCATTTTGACAGCAAACTATTAATAACTCGATTTCCAGCTGGTCTCCCTGGGTGACCTTATTTATAGGCCATGGGTTACCTTATCAATAGATCTTGGTTTTGTCATTAGAAAACTTTAAAAAATTCAAATGTTTTGATAAAAGACTTGATGGGTGACCTAGATATATATTGACAATATCCAAATGTTTTACAAGGCAAAACTAAGGCGTTTCTTTCCGAGAAAGTCTAACATTGTGCACCATGACAATGGGAGCTCTCACACCACCATAATATTATATACGTTTCCCTGTGGGTTTCAATTATCAATTCCTTTGCATATATGTCAAATATATCCCCATAAAGTAGGTTAACCCGTTAAAAAGTTCTAATGTATATGCCGTTTAAGAATAAAACTATGTTTTGATTTAAAAATGTCTGTATATCACGACAGAGCTCGCAATGTTAAAAATAGAGCTTTGAAATTTTACACATACAGCCTAAGATATTTGGTATTGAAATTGGCATATATGAGTCCACGGTTTGGTATAGACCCAATAGAGAAGGTTACACCACCGACTTGGCTGTAATTTGGTATATTGCGTTCTCATTGGGTAGAATTATCAATGTTAGCCCACTTTTTAGGGTAGCCTCTATATAACGGTACCAAATTTCGATTTGTAAAGTTTGGTCACGTTTCAGGGTAGCCGCCTATAGCGAGGCTTAATATAATTGTTTTAAATTAATTTGTATTAAATTCTCATCACTAACCCTGATTTCTTTCTTTCCCCCTCCCAGGTAATACAATCCCGCGAAACACACGAGACCTTACTCTGTATAGCGTATGTCTTTGAGGTGGCTGCACAAAATAGCGGAGCTACACATCATATTTATCGATTAATAAAGGAATAGCATGAACTTCCCTCCATCAACAATAATGACAACAACAATACAAGAAATACATCAGCAGCAGCAACAACAACACTGTCCACAACACAACTTAATGAATTTAGCAGCGGTGGCAGCACCAACAACAACAATAATAGCAGTAGCAATGCAGCAGTAGGAGGAGGTGGTGGTGGAGTTAATAATAGCACACACAATAGTACAACATCATCAGCAATGGGCGGTGGTGGTGGTGATAGTGATATGGTGGTGACGGCAACTGGTGGCGATAATAATAGCCAACATTTACCCAGTGGCATGAGCCTAGAGGAACGCAGTGTCATAATTGAACAGAAAGATATAAATCGTAGTAGAATATATGTAAGAGGAGGAGGTGGTGGAGCAGGCGCAGGAGGAGATAATGCCACAACACTACCCACAACAACGACAATAATTAAGCAATCACCCACATCGCCACCTAATCCAATGGATGTTGTACAACAGCCCTCAGGGCTGCATCATCAGCATCATAATTCAACGCATCTGCATCAAAGTCTTGGCGAAAACCTTTACTCAGCATCAGCAGCAGCAAATGACAGTCACACAAGTGCAAATTTGAGCGATAATTTGGATTTATCAGCAGCAACAGCAGCATCTTCACAACATCATACACAGCAGCAACAACACCATCATCACCACTCCTCCTCTCACCATCACAGCCATGCAAATTTGAGACTAAGCAATAATAGTTCGACCAACAACAGCCATCTTTTGGATAATTGTTCCACCACACCGAACATTGTCTCGGCATATTCATCATCAATACAAAGACATAAACAGGAATTACCTTTGCCCCTTACCACCTCCTTGGCTGAGTGTCAACTAACGCCCACAGCAAATGATGAGGAAATGATTTTGGCGGGTCATCCTTTGGGCGGTGGGGCAGCGGGTGGTGTTGTTATTGACCGACCTCCACCACCTTCATATCATGCCACAACTGTGGCAGCGGCCGCAGCTGCTGCTGCAGCAGCCAAACTCTATAATCCCAATTCATCATCTTCATCGCCGTGTACAACTGCAACTGATATGGATACAAATGCCACTACTGCGGCTGCTGCTGCTGCACCATCACGTCTCAGTGCCTATGAACAATTTCTGAAACTTTCAGCCCAAGAATATACCTCGGCTGAAAATGCAGCTCTCAATTTAAGTTCAGCAGCTGCAGCGGCGGCAGCTATGGCGGCTGCTGCTGTCGTTGCCGGTGGAGCTGTAAGTACAACAACGGGTGTTATGAGTTCACCTCTAGTAGTGGCAGGAGGTGGAGGTGGCAGTTGTCTAGCTGGTGTTAATAGTGGTGGTGTTGTTGTTGTTGGTAGCAATAGTAGTGTATTAGGTAATAGTAATAGTATTGGTCATAGCAATAGTAGTAGCAATAGTACGGTGTTGCTAAACACTGCAGCAGCAGCAGCAACAGCAAGTAATGATTTGTCCAATTCACATCATAATAATACTAGTTGTGAACGTAATTAGGCGCATAGATAGATAATTGGAAATTTTAAGGGATTTGACAAAAGGAACATCATAAAGAAAAGGAATGCATAAAAATTCAGGAATTTTATTTGCAATGAATTTGAAATCATTTAGTAAAATTATGTTTGAAAATTAAAATTTTGTATATTTTTGCGAAAATATTTTAATTACACTGGATGTAATTAGCTGTTGAAATAAGAGGAAGATAATGTAAGCTATAGGTGTTAATATTTACATCAAAGGATGTATTTTTTCATCTACATGTAATAACATCTGGCACCTGCATTGTCTTCCTTTCGGCTTGAGATTACCTCACGCTGGGTCGTTTGGTATAGTCTAATTTCCTTTTAAACTGATTTATGATAAATGAGTTTAAGAGACTCCTATGCATTCAAATCCGTTCATAATGTTTTCCATAGCAATTCAATGAAATTCGTTCTTTGAAATGTGTTCTGAAATGGACAGCTGATGAATATTTTAAACTGGTATTTGAAAATATATTGCTGTTTTTAATTTATATTAAATATCTAAAAGATCTACATATATCCAGTAGTGTAATTCTTTAATCAACAAAATAAAAATTTTACCAACTTTTTTGGTAATTGGAAGAATGTTAGAGTTATATGTAAATTATAAAAAAAGTTAAATAGTTTTGAAATTATTGTAATTGCTGAATTATATCCAGTGTAAATTTCTGACAACATTTTCTTATTTAAAACAATTTTGTATTGAAATTTTTAATTATTTAAAAAAAAAAATTATTTTAAAAAATCTCTGTCGATTGAAATCGCAATATTGATGGTAGAGCTAGCAATATTGATGGTAGAGCTTTGAAATTTTGCACAGACATTACAGTAACCCCTAGGATGTTTGGCATTGAAAAATTAGATATATAGATCCATGTTTTGGTATAGCCACCATATAATGGAACCACCATTCCCATTATTCGATATTTTGGGGATTTTGTACACGTTTTTCACCAATTTAGCTGTAGTTAGGTATTTTTGTTAGCAACTCTGTATATCATTGCTAACTATACATATTGGCCCACTTTTAAGGGTAGATCCCGTATAACGATACTCTCAAATATTCAATAGATTTTTGAACCAGATTGACTGTAAATTGAAACTTTGGGTTCTCATTAGTACCATATAACGGTACCTCCTAAATTTCGCTATTTTGAGGAGTTTTTCAAACAAATTGGCTATCATATTACCTTATAAGGTGGAAGATCTTTCTACGAAATCTACAATAGCCCAAGTTTTACCTTTGGCTAAAGAGTCGACTTTTCGATCTTTCGATTTTTTTCAAACCTGCAAAATCCACAAAAAAAAAAAAAATGATTTTTTTGTTTGAATTGTTGTCAAAAGATACAATAAAGTTCTGTAATGTGTAATTTTTGGGCAATTCGGGCTTTGTAAAAATAATCCATGTATTTATGAAGAAAATCGAAAGTCGATCCTCAAAGATCAAAAGCCCATTTCGACTTTGATATGTTGCTCAAACCATGATCCACTAATAATTTCCTCCGATAAGGTCAAATAATTTCACACGACCTGTCAAAGTGCTTTCAATTATGACTTAATCGTGTGAAAAAGTAAACAAAAAAATTGACATTTTGGGGGATTTTCTACCAAATGGCCGTTTGTTGGGCCATGGCTCGACTATTTGCTTCGAATCGTATTAGGAACACCTTTCGTTAAATCTGATATGCCTTCAAAATTTTTCTAGAATATTCACAATGGTTTGAATCCGTTTGTCAAGTTTATTGGGCCATTAAAAAAAACGGTAAATTGATATCCAACTTCCCAAAGTCTTGGAAAACCATTTAAAAAAATCTATTCACAGAGGTCAATTTAGGAATGGAATGTCAAACATTTTTTCTACAGTCATGTTTGAAATATACCCTTAAAATGAAAAGCCCTTCCTCTTCTGATAGAAAAATATTTTTACTTTCTAAAGAGAATTTTTTATAATAAAACATTCAAAATTTTTTTTGTTTTATTAGATTGTGTCAATTAAATATCTTCCCAAAAATCTGAATACAATTTTGTTTTAATAAATATTTTATAAAAAAACATTCACTTGCACTAAGAGGCTGAAAAGATTACTAAAACAAATTCTGAAAACGAAGCAATTTCAATAAATTTTGATTGTGTTTCCCCCAATTTATTTTATTTTCTTATTCTAAAACAAACAGAATTATATCCCAATCCCTCCCATTAATCATTAAATGTATGAAAAACAAAATGATCTCAAAATAAATATTGGGGAACAATAACAACAACAATCAAAAATTAAAAAAACCTTAAAATTTCCAATTATAGTTCTGCGAAAAAAATAAAACCTATTTTTTAAGTAAAATAAAGATGGAAGAGCAATATAAGGTGGCAAGGGACCACAGAAGTGATCATTCTGTCAAACCCCTATATTGACCTTCCATCTTAAGTTTTTTTTCAACAAATGGTTATCATTACATTACGTTTGTACTAATTTAAAAGGAAAAAAGTTTTTGTTTTTTCTTATTCTATACATATATATAATTTTTTTAATTATTAATTATATTAAAAGAAGAGAACATGTTTGTAATACAAACAAAATTGAGAGAATTCATTAAGTTTAAAATAAAAAAAAAATATATTTATGCAAACAAAATAATTATAAGTTTTATTAACTAACTTTTAAAAACAATATCAACATTTAAGTAAATTCAACAACAATAAATTGTGTAATTTTGTTTATTCTTATTATTAATTTTAGTGTAAATTATTAGATTTTTTATATATATTTGAAATATATATATTTACAACATAACAATTATATAATGATGATGAAAATTACAAAATTTATGTGTATGTGTAATAAGTATATATCAATGTAATAATTCTTTTTTAAGATTTTAAATCATTAAAGAGTTTCAATAATATTAATAAATACAAAAAACAATAAACATTAATAATAACATAAATTTAACATTTAGGCCAATAACAAAACATAATAATAATTTTAAATATTTAATAAACTAATATTATTGTGTAATTATTGTAAAAAAAAGCAAACAAAATCTAAGAAATTATAAATATATATTACAAGAAGTTAAGTGAAAAACAAAAAAAAAATAAATTTATCAAAAAAAAAAACAACAAATAAATAAATTCATTTGATTATGAATTTTGTGAACCATCCACCGTTTTTTAAAACAAATTTAAATTTATTTTTATCTATTAAAAACCATATTATAAATATTATTTTTTAAAACTCAATTAATAATTTTACCTTAAATTTTTTGCTCTAATTTTAATATTTTTAATAATTTAACTATTTGTAGTGTTTAAGAATATTTTTTTAATTATAAATATTTTCTTTCTTGCTAAATAACATTTTCTTTTTGTTTTATTTTGCCTAAGTAAATTTTTTTGTAAAAAAAGTATTCTTCGCTATTTTATTTCTTTTTTTGGCCTAGACACTATTTTTTTAAATTTTGTGAAAAACATAAGTGTGCAAAAGGTTTACATATGTGTACTATAGAGATGGAAAGGATTAGGGAGGAAGAACATTGGATATATCTTTGTTCCGAGGAAACATTATGTGAAATATTTTTATCGTATAT